GCCGGAAGGGCTATGGTCTGGCCGGAGAGCATGCCGCCCACTGGGCCCCCGACTCCAAAGCCAGGTCCGCGGTTGACGGTCTGTCGGATCCGCAGGAACCTCCCCCGCTGGTTCTCCTTCAGGTCCAGGTAGTACTTGCGGTTCTCCCGGACGAGAAACTCGCTCTTGAGCGCTCGCCTGGGCCCGCCATCCTCCCCCACAGCAGCCTGGGCTATCTGCTCCGGACTGCTAGGCCCCAGCTGGGCGTAGTGCTCGATGAAATCCCCGAGGTAGTCACGGAACTCCGCCGCCACCGACAGCGAGAGGGTCAGGCGACTTTTGGAGCCCCCGGCCCCGACCTCTGCGATTTTGATGAACCTGCCCTTGCTGTTCTGCTTGACGTCCAGGTAGAAGCGCTTGTTCTGGATGTCGAGGCGCTTGGACGCCAGCTCCTGGGTCTCCTGGTCCCGCTGGAAGTGCTGGAAACCACCGCCGCCTCCCCCGCTGCTGCCGCCGCGCTCACTCCCACTGTCTCCATCCGCCATCTTCAGCTCCACCATTCGGCTCGTGCCCCTCTCTCCTGTGCAGCTGCTCCCGACGCGCACTCAACCCGGCGCGCGCCCCCGTCACGCTCTCCGTGAGTGCACTCCGCGGAGCGTCGTGATTGGCCCAACCGTTCGCCACTTTCACGAGTTCACGCAGTTACGGCCTGATCATTGGTCTGTCAAATTTAGTCAGTCACGCCCATATGTAGCATCTCTCATCAGCCATTGGTTCAAATTGAGGTTCCGTTTGCGTCAATCTTGTCATACTCATCTCTTTTAAACTGTATTTTATTGTAATTTGTATTTTAGTGTATTTTTATGCACCGGACATCCTTTTCTATTTCCACTGTGTTCAATTTTATTCTGTATTTTATATTCACAGATGCATGTTATGTTTTATGTGTTTGGTTTTTCGTTTCTTCTGAGGAAAATTCCAAACAACTGAGTTGTGTGGCTATCAATATGACCATTGATAATATACTTTATAATGATAATTAAAGTACATTATATTAGGAAGTCTATCTGATTGAACTCTTGGTGGCCTGAACTTTCTTGATTAAACAATTTCTTAGAGATGCGACATCAACCTGGAATTTTATTACCAATTACATTTTCTCAAAACTTGGAGGCCTTATTTTTTTTTTCCTGTGCAACTGTAATGTTGAAAGAAAATCCCCTTAAAATGATCAAACTGTCATTTAAAAAAAGCTCCTTTCTTGGTCTTTAATTTGCAAACACAGCTTCACACATCACAAATATTATATCTGGAATAATAGAGACATAATATATAAATACAAATCTTTATTCTTGGAAGACTGGTTTGTCCATGGTGATTTTCTGGTTATTCAACGTTTTAACTCTAGTGATATATTAATGTCATTCTCTGGATTCCTCCACAAATACAGTATCCCTGTACCACCAAAGGAATATGCCTTACTTTTTGAAGCAATCAGCTTCTTAGAAACATTATTATCACTGGATTCTGTTGTTACTAATGTTCAAATCTGTTTTGCTCTAAAAAAAAGAACAATAATTACCAGAATATACGTGGTTTATTTAAAAATGAAATTGTCTCTATTCCAAATGTAATTTCCTATTTACCTGGACTGGAGCAAATGTGGGGCCTTCCCTCTAAATATCTTATTGAGATTAACATCAAGGAAGTGACTTTCAAACTGATTCATCATTTTTATACCTCCAAACATTTTCCACAGAGATAAATAAAAAGGACATTGAGTCGGACTCCACTTCTTGTCAGCTGGTTACAGAAGACATCCATCACTTATTTGGTCTTGTCCCCTCTCAGCAAGATGTCTGTGCATTTATTTTCCAATAAATTGACTTGATGGATTTTCCCTCTCTTTGAAAATGTATTGTTTGTTTTTTACGGCAATACATGTCATGTTGCAGCTGAACACCCCTCACCTCCCCCTTCCCTTCCAAACATGAAAGAGAACCTGTGGTAGCCTTCAGTTGTCATAAAAACTCAAAAGGTTTTAGATTGTCCTGTCTGGACGACTGTAAAAAACACGGCAGCCTCTATAGAGAGGACCAGCCCTTGATATTTAAATATAAAGGGTTCATTCTAGGTTTAATAAAATAAAATAAAAAATTCATACAATTTAGATGAAACACACAGGTGAAGACATCACTAGGATTATTTTATATTCAATTTCTGCCAATAGATCCCTTTCATCTAACACACTGGACCTTTAACAGCTGCACCGCAACATACAGTACAGTCACAGAATGAAACATGATGTTTTTCCTCACATTACGACTATAACTTACAGTTTCAAGTTAAAGATTAATGCTAAAACATAACAGACAAGTAGAATAAGTATAGGAAAATAGTTATTGAGTCAGTGAGGTGGTTATGTTCTTTTTCCCGGCTCCCGATGCAACCGTTAAAGTGTTTATGTTTATTACCGTTCTGATTAATGTCTAAAGCAGTCCTATAACTAGTGGTAGGGAAGAGAAACCTTTTTCTCCTGTTTTTGGTTAGGTAGGCAAGTAAGATCCCTGTATTTTCTTTTTGTCCCTTTTTTTTGGGAAGTTAGTTTGTTGTCACAGATTGTTTTCTTTGTTATTTTGGCTGTGCTCTTCCTGATGTTGTTTTTCTATTTTTACTAAGCTAAAAATTAAAAATAAATCATTGTTTGGACTGCCCACAAAATCTTCGGCCACTGGTTACACTTGGGAGTGGGGAAAGAGGGAAGCCATTTATGTTATGCTCTGGTAGCTCCTATATATAGGCCGGGCGTAACTGAGCAAGTAAGGATGCTGTGACAAATTATTGAGGGTAATAAATTGAACAAGGTTGTGTTTTATCACATATGAATGTCATTTTTTGTGAAAGGAAGAATGCATCATTTCTCATTGCGCAGTCCTTCTTTTTGGGTTCTGTGTATAAGCTGTGTGTGAACACTCAGAGCTTCAACTTTACATGAACTGGTTGTGTCCTAGTATTTCCTTGAACAATGTAATTGCATCTGCACCTGGGCTGATAGCACACCTGTCATGTATTATATAACATGTCATAAACTGTCAACGGGAAACATGATAATTCAGTTCCCAAACTGCACTTCTAGAAGTACATCCAATCAAGTACTCTGCTGAAATACAACTGTTATGTACTTGCATTTGAGCTGTTTAAACCCTAACCCTAAAATAGGATGCATCTAGATACAATAAAGAACCAAACATGTTAGGTCATTAAGGTTTGCCTCATCTTAACCAGCTGAAACATTAAAATACAGCTTGAACATTATGTATAAGTGATAATAATCCTTGTAATATATGAATATATACAAATGATCATATCATTCTGAATTGGGACATTGTGCTTGACAAGGACTTCATGTACATTTTGTTGTAAATACTGCAGACCTTAATCTATAGTTTAATGAATGGAGTTTTTTACAGTGTGATTTAGCTGCTTTTACTGAAGTAAAATGTCTAAAAACTTCTCCCATCACTGATTATAAATAGTATCAGTGGCAACATTGACCACCTGCAGTGTATTCATTATTGCATGACCTAATTCTGTCTACAGATGGCAGTATAGTTCTGTTTGCAGCTCAGGTGGACCCTCAGGTTGATGTTCCTCTCAGCAGTCCTGAGTGGGAATAATTCTACTGTCCAAATACTACTGTAATGTGCTGTACTGTAGCCCACTGTACTGTCTTACCCTGTAGTCTAGTGTACTGTTCTGTACTGTCCTTCCCTGTTGTGTATTTTACTGCTCTGCCACGTAGTGTACTGCACTGCCGTGTACTGTACCCTATAGTGTACTCTACTGTTCTACCCTGTACTGTACTGTCCTACCATGTAGTGTATGGTACTGTCCTGCCCTGTACTGTACTGCCCTGCCCTGTACTGTACTGTACTGTGGTGCACTATAGGCTACTTTAATGTGCTGTAGTTTGTGCCTGCCCTGTGGTAAATGGTCTGTATTTATATTTGGTCTTCTAGTCCTGATGACGACTCAAAGCAATTAACAGGATAGTTCTACTTTCACTTTTTCACACACATTCATACAGTGCATCTATGTGCAGCACTTTTTCTATGAAAGGGTAAATTTGGGGTTTGGTATCTTGCCCAAGGACACTTCGGCATTTAGACTATAGGGAAGACTGGGATCGTATTGTACTGCCCTGTCCTGCTCTGTACTATACTGCACAGTACTGTCCTTTACTTACTCTGTACTATTTGCAGAGTATTTTAAAAACAAAAACAAAAAATTCACAATCCATTTACCTATTCATTTATATCTCGATATGTCATGGTGAAAATCCTGTTTCAAAGGAGGATTATCAGGCTCAGACGCTTCAAACTGATACTCACAGCCAAATTTATAATCAAGTAGTGTGTGTGTGTGTAATAATTTTATTTTTTCAGAATAGTCGGATGAAGAAAATTCTGAAAGCTAATTAGAGAGATTCTCTTTGCTTTGCTTTTTTCTGGTTTTTAGTAGGTGTAAATATTTTTATCTTGTTGTGTACAGCAGTAGAAGCAGAAGATGTACAGAGATGTATTACATATGTTAAAGCAGTACCAAAGTAAAAATTCCATTATTAATTAAGTCATGCATTCAATATCTAACTTAAGTACGAGCAAAACTTTTTATAAATAACAGAAATTAAAATGTCTCCAGGTTATCTAATGCTGCTTTAAGACATGGTGGCAGAAATACTTAGATCCTCTACTTCTGTAAGTAAATAGCAAAAGTAGAAATATTTCATCTCAAATAAGAGAAAGGAAGTAGTATCATAATTGAAAGTACAGAAATGTTGGCATCAAAATAAACTTCAGGTATAAAGAGTAAACAGACTAATTCTGCAGAATACTGGATCCTATGAATGTCAGTATTATGAATATATACTGTATATACATATATATCACTGTTAGATCAAATATAGGAATGAAATGAAAGAAAAGATGTGTTTGAAAATACATCAGATGGCCTGTTAAGTTTGAATAACTCTTTTATTTAAGCAGTGTCATTTCACAGTGACATAAGAACAACAATCACTTCATAGATTAAAATTTAAATATATGCAAACTATACAAGCAGAGGTACACACATAAATCCCATTATTGCACACTACCCTGTTTGATTCCCGATTAAGATTTAAGCTTCACAGCCATGTTTGGGATCTGTTTCTCATAAACCATTCATTTCTGTTAGTGTCGATCCTATTAGGATAAGATGAGAACATTTTTTTCAAAAAGTAAAACCAATACAATCTTATTTTGTTTGACAAAATATCAGTTACGATTACAGCAGTTGCTCGTCGTCATCTTCATTGGACTGCCAGTGTTAGTAGTACTGAGGATAAGCCGAGTAGGAGCCCATGAGTTGAGACGAGGCAGAGGGGAGCATGACCCCCGGGAGGCTGCTGTACTGGTAGGAGTCCAGGGGCAGCGTTGGGACACTGGACAGGCGGGAGCTGTACTGCAGACTGTGTGGGTGGACGAAGGGGGCAGCAGCCGGGGCCTCCTGTGCTGCTGCTGCTGCTGCAGAGTGGTATCTGGGGTAGGGTCCCGGCCTGTAGGACTGCAGCTCAGGATAATGCATGAACTGGGAGGTGATGTTTGCCTGGCAGGCGTGAGCCAGGGCGTCCTGCACAGTCCTCTTCAGCTTCATCCGTCTGTTCTGAAACCAGTTTCTGATCTAAAGGCAGAAAGAAGATGAAAGTTTCATGAGGAAAAGTTTACACCAAAGAACATTATTGGAGTCAAATCATATTCCTGGGATATAAACACATTTAAATAAATACTCTAATTAATGAATCCAAATGTTTTAATATAGACTTGTTACCTGTTTGTCAGACAGGTTGAGCTTCTTGCAGAGCTCGGCCTTGTCCTGTGTTCCCAGGTAAGCGTTCCTCTTGAAGGCCCGCTCCAGGCTGGTGATCTGCTCCGATGTGAAGGCCGTGCGAGGTTTCCTGCCCGATGGGGGGGACGGCGGCGAGGTGGACACACAGCCAGGAAGGGCCGAGGGGGAGAGGGAGTGACCCCCTTCACTCTCATACCCGGAGGTCTCCTCCTCTGTCCCGCTGCTGAAACTGGCCTCTGTCACTGAAAGAAGAAGAATTCATCAAACATTGAGTTTAACTATTTAAAAAACATTTTAACTCTTTGACTTTGAACACAAAGTTATTTAATCTTCAAAACCCAGTTACCTGTGAAACTGAGTAAATGTACTTAGTTACATTCCACCACTGTGATTGTTGGCGGCTGAAGGCCACTACTAAAAAACTGTGTTACAATTTAAGGTCACTCTAGATTGAAAAATATGTTTATTTGTTTCAAAGCTAAAATTGTTGGAAAACTTTTCTTCCAGTATTTTCATGTCATATATGAATTTAATACTCAAGTTAACTACAGTTCCAAGATAAGTATTTTAACTGCACTACTTATCAATGCCCTATATACAAGCTGTATCAGCTTGTTTCATAATTATTTTGGTAATATTCTACTTTATGCTATTACTAATAACTTAACATATTTAGCTCTATCCTACTATTCAGCATTTGAACACAATATAACACAATTTTAAGAAGTTGTAAGTGGAAAAGACTCAACACTTCTAGTCAGTTGTAAAGAAATGTGATGAAGTTAAATTTACCTTGATCACTGTGAGAGGTTTGGTGCTGGGGTGTGCTCAGGCTGTATGCATCCAGGCTCTGACTCCTGCTCTCTTCCTGTTGCTCAGGTACTTTTTCTGACTTTTGTCTGCAGTAAAAACCAGGCAGACTCTCAGAATGTGTCCCGCAGGCTGTGGGTCCGGGGGTCGGGACAGTGTCTGATCCCGCTGGCTGGCTGCTCTGGGCCATCCACTCGATGGAGAAATGTCCTCTCATTGTTACAGATTTTTTTCTTCTTCTAAAGAAAAAACAAAAAATGAGTATGTCCTTTGTGTTATATGGCAAAATCAGAAGTATAGCCTCTGTCCAGAGTGCAGGGGAGAATCTCTCAGGATGCGCTGGCTGGTCGGTCCTGGTGGTAGAGGAGTAGTAGCTGTGTCCTCCTGGCAGCCTGTCTGTATTTATAGGGGACATCCCACCTCATCTCAAACTCTCAGCCCCAAAGATCAAAGCATGCATCCTCACTTCCCTCCCACCCTCCCCTCCTTTAGTTTTCACAACTGGAGTAATTAAGACGTCTCATTCAGTCTCAATGAGGCTGTTACAGCCTGGCTCCAGTAAGTCTGGGAAGTCGTCCCCCCCCCCCTCAACAACATACACATACACACCCTCCTTCCTGCCTCCAAAAACAGATAATAGACACACCTCACCCCCAAACTGTCTGCATCTCCACAACTACATCCAGACTGTCAACGCAAGTATGTAGTGTAGAACAGGACAACTGCTCAATCTTAAGAATTTACTTTCTCAATTTTATACTTGCAGTGCAGTTTAAAGTATTTGATTTGCGATAATATATTGTATCACGTGATGAGCTGATTTTTTAAGAACTGTACTTGAGTATGACTCTAAGGTACTTGTGTTGTTTGTGCATATTTCCATGTTTTGCTCCTTTATAGGTCTACTTCACTACATTAGAAAAAGATACCTCATCTTCATGTGACAGCTATAGTTTATAGTGTTTTAAATATCATGTGCCTTTAATGCTGAAACAATAAATAGATAGACAGACAAGCAATCGTCTTTCATTTAAAAAAAGACAGGCAGCTTCAGTGATTGGATATGTCAGCTGAAACAGTTTTTTAAAAAATCACCTACATACATTTGAGGATGTTTCAGAATTTTCTGCAGATAAATGGGTAAGAAAGAATAATTAGTCGCAGCCAAGAGTCTCTTCCCTTTCCAAACAGACTTTAATGTAATTCTTAGAATGTCCACTCAATGCTAAAATGTTCATCACACACATTCAGGGGCTATAGTTACTCTAAAAATACAAACTTCAATCAGAAAAGATTCATTTGAGCCAATATCCAACATAATGAGCTGTGAGTGGCTTAACATGATGGAAATACAATAATCCGGGATGATCCTCAGATTAAAGACAGTCTGCTGGGACGGGATATCAGATGAGCTTTAACAATGATGGGTTTCAAGGTTGTGTGATCTCTGTTGTTACTGAGACTGAGAGAGGATTTACATCTGGATAAAAAAAGAAGCGATCCTCCAATGACTTTTAGATCAATAACTTCTAATGTATGATTTTCTACTGTAATATATAGGATTAAATAACGGTACTACTAAGTAATTAAGATGTAATTAACTCAAAAATAAACAGAGGGAAATATTTCACAAAGCTGACTGATTGATCATCAAAATAGTGTGGAAATAGTATTCAGTTCCTAAAGTAAAAGAAGGAAATACTACAATTTGGAATACTCCATTATTAGTTAACATTCTGTATTCAAAATAAATACATGAGCATTGGGAACAAAATATATTAAAAAAAATACTTGTTATGATACCAAAATGGGCCCTGTCCATTTTAAATTGTTAAATTACACAATTGGATTATTATAATTTGTATAACGACATGGTTATTTCAACAGTTAGGTTTTTCCCTAGCCTATGACATAGTGTCTTTGTCTGCAGCTGTAATTTAGTGGGGGAGAAGTACAATATTTTCTTGTGAAAAGTGGGAAATTGGAAAAGCTTAAAGTACCATAAGATTACAATTCAAGTACTTGGGTACTTTGCTCTCTTTTAGCAGGCCTACCCTAATAAACAAAATTCACAAGTACCGAAGATGAATATGGCGGAATAGTCTGGTGTTGAAAGAACATAAATAGAAATCCAACATAAGATCCCAATATTTCTTTAAACCATCGGTGGAGGAAATACCTAGTTCTTTTATGTAAAAGTAACCATACCAAAATGTGAAAATACCCCACATTCCAGATTGAACACTACAGTAAAAGTTTGATTGTGCAGTCAAATGTCAAATGTGTGAAGTATCAAGTAGCATAAAGCTAAAAAATACTCAAAAGCAGAGGTATTACTTTCTACATGGGGGGGGGGGGGTTGTTTGGGGATCAAGTTAAGGGCCTGATAACGAGCTGAAGATGATGATCCCCCTGTGAAGTGGCTCATAACATCACCTGAGTGATGGAGCCTGTCTACGACTGTCTCCTCCGAGGACAGAAGAGGACAGGGCGCAGGCAGGCAGGCGCTGCTTTGTGTGCCAAAGGTGCGTGGGCCAAACGCATTGTGGCTTTACAGGATTAATCGGGTCAAGCACGACTCCCCCCTCCCTTTCTCCCGATCCTTTCTCCCCTCATTGATAAGATAATGAGAGGTGCTCGGGACGCGCAGAGTGAGCGGATCCATGGCTGCGCAGGACAATCTCCGCGCCCCCAGACGCGCTGTCTGTGCGCTGCAGTGGGAGAGAAGGGCCGCGGCGCTCTAACAGCTCATTATGGATACTGGGCCACTTCAAAGGCGCCCGGTGCTTTGATAACCAACACACCCAACATGGGACACGGCCGCCACCATAAAAAAACACTTCATATATGTCTTTATGGTGCGTAAAAAAAACTCCACAGTGGGGACGAATAGAGCAGAGAATGACGCCGTGAGTTCTGCTCACCTGTGGATTCACAGCGCGCACTCACTCATCTTATGCCACTTCACACTTCAGGCTCATCCACTACAGTTCAGACTCATGTACAATAAAATGCTTCTGTTACTGTGATAGACTTAACGAAAAGTATCACCCTTCTGCATTAAAGGTTCAGTGTGTAGAATTCAGTGACATCTAGAGGTGAAGTGTCATGTTGCAGCTGAATACTCTTTATTTCATCCTCGTCTTCCCAAAATGAAAGAGAACCTGTGGTAAACTTCAGTTGTCATGAAAACTCAAAAGGTTTTAGTTTGTCCAGTTTGGACGACAGTAAGAAACATGGCGACCTCCACAGAGAGGACCCCCCCCCCTCCATGTAAATATAAAGTATTTAAATATAAAGAGCTCATTCTATGGTAAAGAAAACTACAATTCATACAATTTAGATGAAACACACCAGTGAAAACATCATTAGGATTATTTTATATTCAATTTCTGCAAAAACAAAAATCCTTTCACCTAAATCTAACACACTGGACTTGTCAGTGATCACATCTTTGAACTTTTATTTTTAAAGAAGTATTTTTTCACATTTTTGTACTGGTACTTTTACTCAAATAAATCTTGTGATGTTTTCTTGGATTTATAACATACAGTATTTCATGTACTCCACAGGCAAATGCTTCTAGATGTCAGAAGCTACTGTTGCTTTGCAGGTGAAGATTTTTTCATACACAAGATAATAAAATATTCAAGGTACAGACAGAGACTCTTGGTGTCTCAGGGTTTTTTACCCCGTCTCCTGGTCTCTCGTCTGCGTCTGTGTCCTCACATCAAAGAGCTGCAGTCCTGCAAGTCCCAGATCAGGATGGAGATGACAAGGTGGAGCAGGCCGACACTGATACCCATCCGCCCCATTATACAACACACAGACACAGACAGAGGGGCAGCGATGGAGGTGAAGGAGAGAAAACCAAATGATCAGGACCTCTTTGAACTTTTAACTGTACCAATCAACTCACTGTTGTGTGTTTTTTCTTTTTCTGTGTGTTACTGTGTGTGTCCGTCTCTTCTGGCCTCCGATCAACACTTGTTGTAAATGTTGCAATGTCTGCTGTTTGTTCACTCTTGGCTCTTGTGCTCCGTTTGAAGTGAAAATGATCCACTGCTCTTTTTCCACAGCACGTTAATCAAAGTACTCGATTATTAGCATCAAAAATGTATTTTTTGATTATTATTTGAATAAAATAACAATTAAACAGTCAAATAAACACACAAAGTAAAATGAAAAGTTGTGGCAAAGAACAGAATGACTCAAGTGATTTACAGGGTAATTCCGCTGTTCACATCAGGCACCAATAAAACACTGGTTCTTACTGGTATTTAAACATATGAACAGTGGGGGAAAATAAGACAACAGAGAACAACTGGATATTTAAGAAAAAGGAAAAATATACGATACTCCAAAATTATTTCTTGCAGACATGGAAACAAAAGTGACGTTTGGGGACATGGCGTTTCTATAAAGACAATTTCATGAGGAGTTGCACTCCTTAACAGTGAATTTAAAATTAGGAGGGTTTTTTCCAAATGTGTTTTTCCAAGCTGCATGACTTGGTGGCATGTTATTAAAGGCTTTTGTTAGGTTTTTTTTTATTTTTTGAATAGATTTTCTGCTCTTTTGCTGAACCAAAGTGTCTCTGCAAAAACTCAGCTGTCTGGCTTTGTTTATTTTTCTATGCTCTGGTCTTACCAGGTTTATCTGAAAGAAACACACACATGGACATTCTAGGTCAATCTTGATATATGTGTGTGTGTGTGTGTGTGTGTGTGTGTAAACTCTCCTTATCCACGAAGAAGAGGTCATTCATTCTCCTCGGCCCCAGTCCCAGGCTGCTGCTGTCTGTGGGGTAATGGTCTCCTGCTGGCTTCGTCTTTGATTGGCTCCATTCAGACTCTTTCATCTCTAATGGGCCTGTTTGCTGCTCTGTTATGGACACAAACACACCTAACAACACCGCCCCCCCCCCAGGCACTGTCATTAGACCAGAGGGAGACACATGTCCCAACACAATGGGAAGCAGTGATCAGATCTCTGATATATAGTAGCCAATATCTCCTTTGGTCTCACTGTCGTCATATTTACAGGAACGACAGTCCTTCAAACATGAAGATAGTGCATTTGTTGTTGATTTTTTTCACTAGTGGATTCACCCACATTTAATACTGTAGCTAGTCCTTCTGGCAGGAGTGTGTGTTGTGTGTGTGTGAATCCAAATAAACTGCACTGAGTGCGTTGATGGTGATGAAGGAATCTCAGCAACCACATCAGTGGAGTAGACAACACAGAGAGGACAATACTCAACATGATCAGGCCAAACCTTTGGAATACGTATCAAGGAGAGAAGCAGCTAACATGGAACAAAGTTGGGGCAACTTTTAAGCAAGTTGATTTTTTCATTATTAAACAAATTCACCTTGTTTTTACTACTTAAATTCCAAACAACTGAGTTGTGTGACATTAAATGACTGAATCTGAATCTTGAGTCCTGCTGAATCTGCTTTGTTGTTTCTTATAAAAAAGATTAGAAGTCCTGAATACCACAATTTATCTTACAAAATATAAATTTTCAAAATGAACAGTAGACTCGAGGTCTATTCAATGAAATTGAAATGATTGTGGGAATAATCAAACTCAACCTCACTGCAGAATATTTAATAGATAAGTGTTTTTTTTCCCTGAATATAATTTTTTGATATGAAGCCAACAAAGCCATCAAAATAATCATATAAAACCTTAACCAAGCTTAACCGAGACAGTTTCTGATGCTGAGTGGATTCCTCTATGCAGATCAAGGCGGTGATGACGCCTAATAATCATTGATCTCCATTGCCGGCAGTCTCCAGTAGTTGCCCGCCCCGTCTGTAACACAGTCAGTTAGGGCCTCTTCCCCTGTCCTATTGATCCCTATCAACCTCATCAAAGACTCCCTGGGCTTTGATGGGGCCAGTGGGACTGGTCCCGGTGGACGAGCAGGCGCAGCGACTCCCCTCATCAAATGGGGGAAGATGGTGGGATGGAGCAATGGAGGGGTGGCATGCTTTAACACTGTGAAATTAAAAATTTTCTCTAAATACTGGAGGCAGTTACAAACCTGAGGGTTCCCACATCTTACAGCAGGTGCTGGTGAATATCCATTCTTACCTTCTTAGTCCTCATACAAGCATAGTTAAATGACAGTGTACAACCTGTGACAGAAACCTGAAATGGAAGATGATGCCTGACTTACAGTATATGAGGGGATGTTTGTGTTATGACAGATGTCATATTGCTTTATATGTTTGATTTCTCCCTGTCTTATTTTTGACTCTAATCTAGCAGTGTTTGTGATGATGTCGTGGCAGCATTGTCAGATGTGTTAGTGTGGACAGAGATCATTTTGAATATTGAGATAAAAAGTCATTTGGAGGAAAATGAAACAGACATATTTATCTAAAGCCATTTTCCTGCGGAAAAAATCCAGAGAATTGGCTACGGACTTTACCAGCAGTTTGCCTTTCACACATGCACAACGCAGCGGGAGGTTCTCTGCACAGACGCGCTCACAACAGCATCAAATCCTCCACATTATTCAGATGAGAGGTGGAACTGCCGGGTGCAGCAGGCGGATGCAGGAAGTGACGTATTACCTCTGCTGTGGAGATTATGTGATTTATTTTACAACTCACAGACACTTGGTGTCGCCCCTTATCACCTCAAACTCTCTTCTCATCTTTGTAAATTATTTTTTTAGTTACAAACATGGTTCCCATACTGCTTATTTTTCTCGTACATCACTTTCTCTTTACAATATCCCTGTTGGGTTTTCTTTGTGTAGGTAAATGAAGCCTGGGCAGAATGGTTTCATTCCCATTCTTCAAAAAAAGGTTTGGGAAGTTATTCCTGCATCCATGCTTAAATGAATTTACATTTACACAAACTACATCCCATTTCCAGTCTGTTCTCACAGGGGCCCAGACTTGTGGTCTCCTTGCAGCACTATGTTGCTCTCATGTCTTCTTGTTCCTCTTTTGCTTCACACATACGGTGTCGAAAAGCAGAGACGTGTCAATGGTGATTTACTGACGTAAAATACATCGTTTTCTCTTCCAGCTACATTTCTTGAAACCACAGACTCAATACATAGTTCATAAAAGTTAACTGGTTAACAATAGAAAAAAATCAATATTCTGTTTTTCAGTGACTATATTATATGAAATGTGCGCACGTGTCACAGAGTTGACATGAGAGAAGGGGAAGGTGTGAGCACCAACACAGTCTTTGATCTTAAACTGGTATTTAGAGGTTAATGAGGCTGTTAGGAAGAGGTGAAGGAAACGCCTCTGAGTTCACACATCACTTAACACACACACACACACGGGAAATGTATCTGTAGTCTCTGACAGGCTACAACTGTAAATGAGGAGCTCTGTTATTTAAAACATACAGGGAAAGAATGTTTTCGAATAATTATCGAAACTATTTTATCAGGATTTAACACAAGTCAGAGAACTAAATGTGAGGAAGCACTCACACACCAGTATCACAGTCTTAAAAATGATTCATTAAAAGTCCTGCATTCAAAACTGTATTTGAGCAAAATTACAGAAGTATTCTTGGCACAGTATCAAAGTAAAAGGGTTTAAGACAGTAAAATGGACTCCATCTGACATGACCAGACTTTTGTCTTTGCTGAGTCATCAGAGCTTCTGCAGCATTTCACAGTTAAAGCTGCTTTTAACTACAAATTCAGTTGAATTCAGATCCAAGAGATATTTTCTCTACAATTTAAACAGTTTGATGCCAAAAGTAAAATCATATCATCTTCACAAAATAAAGCAAAATCAGAGAATAGTCCAATAAATCTGAGCAAGTGTGTGTATGTTGTTCTTCGTTCTTCTCCCATTAATCAAGTCATGACCCCTCCGATTTATCTGGTGACCCTATGGAGGGTCCTGACCCCCAGGTTGGGAACCACTGGACAAAACTATATATAAAGCAGTTAAAGTAACTCCACATGGAGCTGCTACAATAATGAAATGTAGCTGAAGCATCGTCTCTTTCTTATTTAAATGACGAAATACATTTACTGCTGAGACTTCATTTTTTGTTTAATTGCAATGCTTATAATGCATATTAGTTATTATTATTCTACCAGTACTCTTACTTGAGTAAACATTTTAAAGTTATAACCACCTCATACACAGTTAGCTGGTTTAGTCCAGTGTCTCACCAGGTCAGTCCTCAGCCCTCATACTGGTATTAACAACCCTGTCCAGTGAATCAGTGATGAAATAACAAGAGGACACCTCTATACAATTCACATCTGGCATCAGAATGTGTCGCCACGTGTGTCTCCATTGACCACTATGTTCCGAACTCACTTGTCAGCTCTATATGCAAATCATCACATACAGTTCTGATCAGAGAGACAGAGAGTGTGGAGCCAAGAGGAGCTGAGTGGATCAATATGCAGCACTACAATCAAACAATTCATCATCAACTCATCCCACTATCCAGAAGTTCAGCGGTTCGATCCCCGTCTCTCACATTCCGCATGCCAAAGGGACCCTGGGCAAGATACCGAATCACGAATTGCTCCTGTAGCTGTGCCTGCAGTGTCTGAGTGATATGAGAGAGAAAGTGCTGCACGTGCACTGTATGAATGTGTGAATGGCAAAACTGTACTGTGCAGAGTGCGGAGGGGTCATCAGGACTAGAACATTGCAATATATAAATGCAGACCATCAGGAGATAGCTGAGCAGGCGGTCCTTCAATATTACTCAGGACACATTATCACTGCTAAAAGAATATGGACATGTTGGTGCCAGAAGACCTCTGTGGTGTGGGTGATCGAATCACACCTGTACTTAGAGCTGTCCACTTGTGATGGGATCACTCAGGACAGACGTTGATACCAGGTCTGAGCGGGGCCACTGGGGTCATGAGAAGATAAAGCGGAGAGAAGAAAGGAGAAAAATCTAAGTTCGATTACAGAAATGTGCTGACAGATTTTGAACTTTTGTTAGTGAATATTAGATCATTGGACCTATTTGAGTCTAAAAAAGTTTGATTAAAAGCTACAATGTGAGAATGTAAAAAGAAAACGACACAGTATAACTGCTAACAACTCTGAATCATGACAAGAGGCCCCAACTAGACCCAGTCTGGTTAGATTTTTAACAACGTTTTTTATTTTATAAGCTCATGAAATATCTTTAATGTTAAATTCTAATCTGAAACATCACTGTAGCTGTCATACAGATGGCGTGAGGTAAAAAGTGCAGTACATAACTCAAGTAAACTAACAGTACGTCATCCTGTACATTCAGTAAATGCTCGGCGCCTCTGCTCTGCACAGCTGTGTGGTTTTATTTTCTGCACAGATAAGTCGACAAGGACGTTATAGAATGCAGGTCACAGGTGTGCACGTGCATTTGCCCTCTCGTTCTTTTTACACAGGCACAAGGCAACATATAGTTGAACATGCGTGTGTGAGGCAATAGAGGTTGTAAAGAAACATGAGGAAGTTGTTTTCTTAAATTCAGTGTGTTTCTGTCAAGTAAACCTTTTGTACAGTGCCTTCTTCTTTGATTACATCACTGTGCTCTTGCCATGTTCCTCTTTTTAACATGATGCACAACGGCAGATTCAATCCCATCACTCTATATCTGTTAATGAAAGATCACGTTGTTTCTGTGGTTTAAGGAATTGGAACTAATTGGGGCTTCAGCAAATTAAAAAAATAAGAAACATTGATGGTTCCCACAGAAAATGATTCTTTAACACTTTTGTGATCCTCTTACTTTACTTCTAGCGCCACCATGAGGTTCGCATTTGTGGTCTTTTCACAGGAATTCCTGACAATACAAAGATTATGAATGTCACCAGACAAATCCTTTAAATAACCCAGTGAAGTCAGCCGGTTGCCTCTTCGTATTAATGTATGTCCAGTAAAAACATGGAGGGATACTGATTGGTGTTTACAGCCGCCAATAGAGCTGAATGTGTGTCGTGTCACAATAAGTAGCAGCTCCACACAGAATGTCAGGATGAGAAACCTGTTCTCTGTTTTCAAGGACTTCTCGCTACCACCTAACTGGTGAGTTGGACAGCATAGGTCTCTGTGAGCTGGTTGCTCACCGGTAGAATTTAGAGTCACTGAAAGGGAGTTGAAAATCGCAGAAAGCTTTGTCATTGGGTGCAAGATGAGTAAACGCTCCTGAGAGCATGTGAGATTAAGAGGTAAAGATGTTATGATGCTGGTTTTATAACCAAGAGATAAATGAACAATTGACAGAGATGCAGGATGAAGTTTGGGAACATGTATTTTTTATGTCATGGGGCCTTTAAGGCTGAATTTATTTATCATTTACTGTAAAATATAATCAGAGCAACAACAGGTTGTAGAGGTCAGTGTGTAGAAAATTATTCACATTCTATGAGACACATTAATATGACAGAGGTAGAAGACGATATTTGATGGTCATTAGGCACATTTAGCTAAAACTATCAGCTGCAATAAACCCTGCTTCGGGTTGGTTTACGTTTAGAGTTGTTGATTCTATTGTATGACCATTTGTAGGAGGCAGTATTTTGTACAATTTTACTGGATGAGTCTCCTGTGAACACTTGAGATCAGAGCTCACTTCCAAGCTCTATATGTAAATACACACAAACGTCATTTCTGTTCGCAAAGACCAAATAATGTTGTTATAATCTGATTTTCCAGATGTGTCCGACTCTGTGTAAAAAGCAGTAAAAAGCAGGTCAGAGGACGTCAGCTGAGGAGGTGCCGGTCCTTCCCATTTGGCCCGGGGCACATTTGCCTTCACGCAGCGAAAGGAATGTGATCACATGCATCCCAGACCAACTCCAAATGGGATTCTTGTGATCAGATGCATTTAGGTGCGTTCAGACCTGTACTTAGCTCTGACCACTTGTGATCAGATCACTCAGGATGGATGTCAACACCAGGTCTGAACGAGGTCTCTGAGAGGAGCGAACATGGCAACGAGACAAAATAACTGCTGTGAAATTCGGCCTCACACTTCAACAAACATACAGTGTTCTGGCATCTGATAGACTCGCGCCCCCGCTGTCCCATCTCATCTGAAGGCTACGTTAACCTTTCCTTCTCCAGGTGATAATCCTGGTACCTGCTTGGCTTTCCTGCTGCAGATACGCTCATCAGGTCTCCTCAGGCGTTTCTCTCTGACGGAGGAATGTACTCTAGACCGAGATGTGCAAATATCTCTTGCTCTGATGTGGCTCTAAGATACCTCTGCTGTGAGAAAGAAGGAGAACATATGGGAAAATAATGATACAATGAAGGAAGAACCTCAGCCTGATTTAATTCCTTCACATAGCCTGGATTTGCAAATGTTACTTGAATTAATAGTGCAACAGATCAGCTAAAAAGTAGAATTGGAAAACGTATATACCTGTGTGCTATCATATAGAGCATGGCTGTTCAGAGACATGGCCTTTTCCTGTCCAGCCAAACGTCGCAGCTCTCTTTCAAACAACTGCAGATCAGAATTAACATTTAGAAAGAGCATGGCAGCAGCTGTACAGTTAGAGACCTCTGAAGCTTTTAAATGGTCACCTTGGATCCCGTCCAGCCCAGCAGAGCAAAAGCAAACTGGCTGAAAGGAGAAACCACCAGGTCCACTCTCACAGCTCTCCACGGTTTGTGTCCGGCAGGTTTTATCTCCGCAAGTCCTCCATCTTCACGAGACACATCGGATCTCTGTTGACCAGCGTGGATCTGACTCTGTGACATATGACCCGTCTGCAGACGTGAGTCCTCACCTTGTATCTGCGTGTGGCCTCCAACACTGCCCTCTGCCGTATAGAGATTCTGTAATCCGATTTCTCCCTGTGTCTCTGGCTGTTTTTCTTCCCGTTTGTCCTCCTTGGCCAGTTTAAAGATGGAGAAACACCTCTCAAAGCGGTCCATGTTGGAGGTGATTCGAGCAGGGCCATCCTTAGACTCCAGGTAAGAGTTTCTTGTGGTTTTCTGGTAGAGCAGGAAACCCTGGAGGGACAGAAAACCACTCAGGCAGAAAAGGACAGAGAGGCCTAACCCTGGACGTACGAAGGCAAGAGGCTGAGTGACTGTACCTGTGACTCCAACCAGGACACCACTTTAGACATCAGTCCTGCCTCCATGCCTTCCTCTGGGTGGGTTATGAGGAAGTCAACATCATGACCCGTCAGCTTTCCTCTAAACAAAAGGGTTTCGATTAAACAGCTGCAGCAGAGACTCAGGACTCTTCTGGACAGTGTAACTATGCTGTAAGTTCATGGAATGGCCACCAGTGTTGATTTCAGCTTTAGAACAGTCAAGTTGCCAGTTGAAGACTTTGTTCATTATCATCCTATAATTCAAAAGTGCATTTCAGTCAGACAACTCACGTTCAACCGTTCATTGCAGCAGTAGAACAGTTTGTGTTTGACGTCCAGGCTCCGAATTAATCACTCCCCCGATGTGATTACACAGATATGATGGGAGTGATGAGTAAATACTTGTTACCCCCCGTCGGAGCCTGCAGGTGGATGCTGGGGTGGTGGAGGGGCTGAAGCAGTTGGAAGCAATACTGCAGCAGCAGTGCGAGCAGAGGGGGGTGATGGGACATTTCTCTCTGCTTAAATAGGTCGCCTAATAAGGTGGGTGTGTATAATGGATGATTGTGGAGAATGAGGTGTGTCACATGAGGTGTGTCACATGATTGGAGCAGCGCAGCTCGAGTTGGCTGCCTGAACTAGCTCGCAGGGTTCGCTCCATTTATTAAAAGCGGAAGATATTAAAATCATTTTGACACTATAATTTTGAGCTTCCACCCACTGTTAGTGAATTTTAAGATTTGTTTCTGTCTCTTTCACATTTTCCTTATAGTGATAAACCAACTTCTCACCTCAGTGAAGCTTAAAAACGTTTGACAGAGAGAGTTTGAGGTTTTTTCCCTCAATTTTCCAATGTTGCCGCTCAGGATTTTTTTATGCCCACGTTGAAAATATGCATGGAAACACATACAGTCTATGGGAAAATGAGTAGGGATTTAATATTGGAACCAGGCAAACCTACCTCACAACTCAATGTCTCACAACTCAGATTTAGGTAAATGTTTACTGTTAATTTACATTGATTGAAGGAGTAAAGCATGATATGAAGTCTTTTTCTGGAGATGTCACGTGTCACACTGTGTGCCAGTGTTTGCTCTTTTACCTCCTGAATCCTCCCGTCAGAGTAATCTGGGCTCCCGGTGACACAGAAACAACGGCTTTTGCCACAATCTCTTCAATAGCGTCAGCCTCCGCCTTAGAGACCGGCTGATTGAGGTCGTCATAGTGCTCCACACCTGAAAGAAAACAAGATGTTCACTCAGACAGAATCTATAAAGTACAAATGTACACACAAGTGCCAACACACACACACCTGCTTGTTGGTCTCGGTTGAGGGTGTGTCCTGAATTCCGTAACTGGTGAAGGGTGTGTATCCCCTCTCTGATCCATCGGTCTGCTGTTTTCGCTCCAACTCCAAAAACACCTGTTAAAACCTGAAATACAGTTTTAGCGTTAACCTCAGAAATCAGTTGAAGGCAGCAGCAGTCTCCAGCTTCACAAGGAGAGACAACATTTCCCATTTCATAATATCATTTGAGCCTACATGTATCTTAATGTGGATAACCTAGAAGATACATTTAATTCTATATATTTACAGTTTTAGTTCAAATGTATTTATTAATGGTTCTTTATATGTCATCATGATATTGTTATTATTATTATCATGTTATATTTGGTGGACCACATTAAATTACACAACTTAAGTAAACTGGCATGCAACTGTGATGAAGGGACTACATACGTTTAATTTGGTTTTGAGATATTACTTCATATGTTAGTGGTTACCAGACATTTTGTGTGGATCATTTGATGCTGATCAGTCAAACATTTCCTGGAAATACAAGGTCCCTATTAATTGTATGGAAATGGGATATTTTGCACCCACAATAATTAAATAACAGATCATTTGGTGCAGTTGCCTGCAGATGTAATATTTCCCTCATGAAATCCAAAACATCATAAGGCTCCACTTCACTGCCTGATTAACAGAACTGTGAAGCTTGATGAAAAGGAATGATAACAGACAGATGGACGATGGGGGGGGCTGGACACTGTGGTAAATCATAAAATATATAAATTGCTGCAGAAAACTTTATGAGCAAAACAGTCCACAAACCTTTCGAGCTTTATACCGCTCACATTGCTTCAGGGACTCCACCTCACTTGATGCTCCATTATCCAAAATGTCCTATAAGAACGGAGGATGAGAAGGGGAATTCTCAGATCATCTTTAATTCTGATAAAACAGCCAACAGAAGATCTCACTCACTTTGATGACTCTCAGTGAATGTTCTCCGAGACAGGGCAGCCCTCTGAGCTGCGTCATAGATGTCACCGCTTTAGGGAGAGCCTTCAACACGGCGGCGGCCCGCCTGAACGCAACACCTCGCCCGTCCTGGTCACAGAGCTCAGCGTTTTCAGCCAGGAGAGACAAAGCATCCTGAGAACGAGAATACAGTTATACTGTGCGCTTTCTTTTTTCTGTCAGGGTAGGGTAAAGGTGCAATAAAGGAGATGTGTGTTTGTTGATGCTACATACGGTGAGGATGGTGTTATTGTTGTCCAGAGTGGTTCTTCTCTGACAGGCGTAGCTGGGCACTGAGCACACCACAACCTCTGCTTCATCAATGTGCTGCTCCTGAAAAATACACAAAAAAGAGTCGTACAGTTCAAGATCTGCTGCAGGGGACATTTAGAGTTAAGCTCAAACATTATGTATAAATCACATTCACTTTTTTCTGTTCTTTCTTTTTTGCATATATTAACTAATGGATGTCACTGGATTATTAAAATGCACCTGTAGTTTATGTCTGTCCAGGACTGGAACAGGATGGCCTGCGTGCATGCTCTCTGTGAACCAGCTGATGTCCAGAAGGTGAAGCGGAGCTCCGCCCTGAGCCCGGTGCTGGGAGTTCAGCCACGTCCTGACCTCATCACCAGAGTTGTTTTCACAAATGACATGTGTGATGCTTTGACTGTGAAGAAACAATGTTCAACACAACACCTGATGTAATGCACAGGCTGAACATCTCTACAGAAACATACAATACAGATTAGTCCGTTGATCAACTGACCATTGAGATAATTCATTCTGTGTTATCACAGTAAATTTAACATCTCTGAGTTGTTGTTTTTTCCAGATATTTCAAGAAATAAGGAACAAAACCTTGTTCAATTGTGAAAATAATCATCATTAATAGCATCTGAGGCTTAACAGTCTAGGAAGTCAATAAAATATTTGAAATTGAATAAACCGCCACATATGGAGGTTGTATTCATCGTCTCAAGAGATTTCATCTGAGAAGCTGTCACCAACATCCTCCTCCAATTTGGAATTAAGATGGTCACAGGAAGATAAAGCCACAGACCAATGCACAACATGATCCAATGTAGGAAGGTGAGCTGAGCAGGGTCTTTCTAAATACAGTCCCTCAACCCATGGGGAGGAATTTGAGAGCAGAATGCAGGAAAGTTTGTTTTTTGGAACAAATTCTGATTTGAAGTTTCAGGACTGGTGTGTAGGATTTAGTGGCATCTAGTGGTGATGCCGCATATTACAACCAACTGCATACCCATCGTCTCTGTCCAGACATGTAGAAGAAGCTTCAAGTGACATTGATCAAAGTAAGAGGCCCTCTACAGAGCCAGTGTCTGTAGAGATATGATGGAGGATGACCTGCTCCCGAAGCAGATATAAAGGCTCAATTTAGGCTAATATACACTAATATGAATAATATTTTATCCTACACATAAAATTAGATTGTGGAATGTCCAATTTTCAAGCTATCTGTCTGAATTTGAACCAAAGATGGAATTTATAAATCTGTAAAAGGTTTTAAATTATAAATCTGTTTTCATCCAGCGACTCTGTGTCCAGGGCTTTCAGCCTTCAGTGTTATACTGCAGGGATTGGAGGATATACTGAGGCTCTTATGTGTTCGGGGCTATTTCAACTTTTTTTTTTAATGTTTCTACAGACACACAAGTTTATTGAATGAAAAATGACTGTCTGGTCCTGTCTGTGGAAACTGGCCTCCGTTCAGTCCCACAGGACAGGCAGTGATTTGTAAATTAAATGATTTTCTTTATAAAGTTCATCTTCCATGTGTGTAGGACATGACAAGTTCCATAGATAGATAGTTTTCTGAACATGTGGACATTTAGGTTTTAATTTGGAAAGTTTCTCTAACATTATGTTTTCCATATAAGCCTCTGTAGCATATTGAAACGTGTGTTGACGTTGTTCCTCTGTACTATATGTTTGTGTGACACATCTATTTCCCCGCAGTTGTTACCTGAACGATTCCTCCACTCGAAATCCTTTCCTTCGCCCCAGCTGAGTCAGGAAAGCTCTTCGACTGGCTCCCATCTTTCTTTCCAACAGGAACAAAAGCACCCGGGGGAACCTGGCTGGTGGAGCCTCTCCTGCGCCGTCAGCCTCACTGTTACTCCCAGCGACTCTTCTTCGCTTCAGTGGCACCATGGTCGCACCATCAGATCACACGCTGACATCGAAGCCAACAAACCTGTCAAGTCCACATCTTGTGTCAGAGAGTAGGTATATGAATCGATTCTGGATAAAAAAGCCTCTTTCAACATCTGTTTCCCTGGTTTGTTTTCTGTGACATCATTAAATATATTAAGAACAAAACGTACAGACAGACATAGCAGATGTGGTGACTCGCTTCAGTTCTCTGAAACAGGTCGTGAGAGGAAGCAGTGAACTTCAGTGCAGGAGCGAAACCGGCTGCAGCTGTCAGCCGACACCCACCGCAGCTTGCGTTGTTGTGATTGGCCAAAGTTAGGGAAGCGATATCGGGCTAGGCCAATTAGAATCAGGTTAGGGGAGGGCCTTCGCTTCTTCGCCGACACCGACAGTCCATCGCCAAAATAACTCCGGCTGGAAACTGTGCAGTGTGAGCCCAAAGTGGCCGGTATGGAAGCCAATTTCTGCCAGTAACAAGTAAAAATATAATTTATGATAACAAGTCATTATTATAATAATATATATTTATTTATTTTCAATATAATTTAGATCCTTGCACTCTGTATTACTTTGCACCATGTCTTTCCTTGTTCTCAACTTTTAGAAATAGATAACTTAACAGTTTTAGAAATGAAAGCCCCCTGCATGTCGAGCTGGACGAGACTTGGGAAGTCCAACAGGAAGTCCACCACTCAAATCATTTTTCAGCTTTGTTTTACCAGCATCTTCTAAAACAGACAGACATTGGTCCCGAGGTGTTGGAAACCAGACTCTGATTACTTAAATGCAAAAACAGGACTGAGTCAAATACTGTGAGTGACTGTTTCAGAGTTTTGTCTCAACAAGTTAACTGTTTTATTTTGACTTCTTCCCTTGTAATTGTGTCTTAGTAGCACATGACATTGAAATAACAACCCCATAACTTTGACCAGGTATTTTTAATTTTTTAATAATCCACCAGGCTATTGTTTATTTTCTCTTACTATCTCACCATTTTAATATAGTCAATGAAGAGTTGTATTGAGACGATGAGGTTGGATCTCACATGTGAAGTATTTGTCAGTAAAGTTGGATACTGTCCGGGTTGTACACTGTGTTCTCTGTCCTCTCTCCTCCCACTGATCATATGATCAAAAACACTTCCTCAAACTGTGAAGCTCAACCAGCGTGTGTTTGTCCAGCTTGACACACACACACACACACACACACACACACACACACACACACACACACACACACACACACACACACACACACACACACACACACACACANACACACACACACACACACACACACACACACACACACACACACACACACACACACACACACACACACACACACACACACACACACACACAGACCCTCCCCCTGCAGCAGGAAGCAAAAGCCACGCCGCACACACCGGTAGTTGCGTGTCCATGGAGCCCGATCAGACCTTGCGGAGTGGCGGTGCTGCTCTCCGGGGCATGGGCGTGAGGAGCGGCGCTGGAACCGGGGCGACGACGCCCCGCCGGCGGGGGACAGCTCTCCCCGGGGCCGCCGCACTGCTCTGGCTGCTGCCGGCGCTGCTCACCTCCTGCGTCAGGTGCGCGGAAAGTGCCAAACCCAGCAACGTCGTGCTCATCCTCGCCGACGACCAGGACGTTCAGCTGGGGGGGATGGTGAGTTGACTCAAGTCAGACATCAGCGGTTTTGATGCTAAAGACAAGGTGTGATTCTTGCGATCGCACCTCGAGCTTCTACCAAGAACATGTTGCTGTCAGGGTTCATGGTGTTTTGAAAGTCACCTACAAGTTAAGAGTCACCTCTCACCTCGATGTGCTTAAACAGCAGCTGGAAGTGGGGCTGTGCAAGTCCAGTGACCCCAAGACTGGAACCTAAGCAGCATATTTCATTCACAAAGACATTCAAAGAGGAAGATAAGACCAGGGATGAAAATAGAAGAGGCAGGTAGAAGTAACCCAACAGTAAAAAGCAAATAAAATATAATAATAGGAATCAAAATTCAGCGTAAACATCAGGATCTTATATTGTTTGTGCTGTCAGCCAATGTTGCAAGAAGTATTAAGATCTTCTTCTCAATTTAAAGAGGGAATTGTACTTTATAAAAATAGTTCTTATTACAAATGATTTAGTATTAGCTGCAAAACATACCACTATTTGTGCCAATGTGTCTTCTTGTGTCCTTAGACACTTTAACTAGCATTTTCACTAGTTTATTGTGATGATCGTTGAATCTATTAATTCCTTTATTGTGTTTTCTAAATAGGGATGTGAGAAAATAGTAGAAAATTCCTCTTACAGCTTTTCAAATGTTTTTGGTTTTGTCCAGTCATGCAGGAAACCGGGAGTAGAGTACCCACTCAAGAGCCAGTCATTCACAAACTGTACAAAGTAATTGGTTTTGTGGCCTGACAGCAAAACCAGCCTCCATCTTTAATGTTGTGTCACTTTGTCTTTCTCTTCTTGTTTCTGTTCTCCAGACCCCCATGAAGAAAACAAGAGCCTTAATAGGAGATGCAGGAGCAACATTTGTGAATGCTGTGAGTTAATTGAAGTCCTGTATTTAACTTCCATTTTCTCAGCTAAATACTTGTAAAGTTCTTACCTAACTCTTCTATCTTTATCTGACAACTATAAATGTTAGTTACCTTTAAGATTAAGAGTTTACATCAATACCATATAATAAATATTTTGAGTATAATGCATTGCTACGAATTGACCCTGTGATTTCCCAACATGTTGGCTTGTGCCTCCTTACAAAACAAATCTAGTCCAGTCTAGTCTGGTCTAGTTGGGTAAACTTGTCACATTTCTGGTCCGTCTGTGACATTTCTCCTCTAAACCTCTCACATGGTTTCCTTAAAATAACTGGTCACAAGGTGAAACTGTGAAATACTTATTTAGGAAGAAAGAACAAGAAAATGATGAGATAGTATGTCCACATTGCAAAATACCAAACCAAAATATAGGAGGTCGTGATACTAACTCAAAATGATATCCGCATCTGCACTAGGCATGAAAAAGATTTACACAATCTCTTAATCAGAACATTCAGTAAACCAGTTTGAGTGCCATCCAACATTCCCTTTAAAAGCCTGACCTGACTTTGCACATTGCTTTTATGATGGTGTATTCACCAGTGTGAGATAAAACATTTCTGTGCAGAGGAAATGGTTTGTGTCTGTAACAAGAGTTTATGTTTGTTGCACAAGCCTATGTAGACTTCAGACCAGGTTTTTGTTGGTGACTTGCTCTCCGCTGCTTAAAGATAGCAATGTACCAACAGTTTACCTGTCCACCACACCCACGAGTGCACAGATTGGTACAGGTTTATTTGCTTTTTAGACAACGCCGCTTAAACTAGCATGTTTCAGACCGTGTTTCAGACCATGTGTCATGCTCTGCACCGCTTGGTGTCAGGTCAATCATTCAATCAAATTTTATTGGTACAGCCCATATTCACAATTCACAATTTGCCTCAAAGTTCAACATCCTCTGCCCTCAACCCCTCGGCTGTAGGATACAAATTCAGTAAGTTAAAATGATTGTCTATGTAAGATAATGAGAAAATGATCAGAAATCCTAAAGTTTGATTCATTATTAGTACTTTTTTTAAAAATCACTATATCACTAACTTTTGTATTTATTCATTAAAGTTTTCTATACTAGCACTCAGTAGATTGCATTCCACTGCCAAGGCCCAAACTGAATCATCTGCACCAAATTACACACTAATAGATTTCAGATTTCCGAGTATGCCAGATGTTTTTCATAAACTTTGATGATTTGATTCTTTTTATTTCACCATATTAGACTGAGATCCAGTCATACACGGATGCTGACCTCCATCATGGCAACAACATTCATAGAATCACTTCCTCTTTAGCGATTTGTCTACAAAATAAAATCCTGTTTGTTTTTTTTGCTTCAATGCTTTGTATGGAGCTGAATTGCAGAGCTTCTTTATTGAAAAGAAGTGAACTTGGGTCTGAAGATTGTGTCGACCTCTATAGCCGACATGTTATGTATGAAAAGAGAACAGAAGCTCAGTAAATCATTCAAAAGGTGCACACAGAAATAAAGCAGATTCAGTTTCATTTTCTGAAAAACATAACTATAAAATCTTCACTGTAGGATGAACAGAAAGTGTTCAGACTTCACACTGCATCATAGACTGTTTGTAAAATGCTCTGCACACAATGTCCAGCACACAAACAATAAGCAGTGACAGTATATATATGTCACTGTATATATGTGTTTGAGGAGGACTCACTAATGACAAGGAATGATTCTGAAGTAGCTCCAGAGCATTAACTCAGGACAAGAAAACAGAAAATTCAAATCAGGCAGGTTTAGGACTGACACTGCACTAGTGTTTTAAAATGTTGAAACCCCTGCTCCCCCTCTGCTCTCCTATTCTCATCTTCCTCTTATTGCTGTTCTCTCTTCCTTCTCCTAAAGTTCACAGTCACGCCGCTGTGCTGCCCCAGCAGGAGCAGCATTTTGACAGGTCAATACCCCCACAACCACGAGGTGAGGAACAACTCTCTGTCTGGGAACTGCTCCAGTCCCCTGTGGCAGAAAGGTCCCGAATCTGAGGCCCTGCCCTTCTACCTGAGCAAACAGAAATACCAGACGTTCTTCGCTGGCAAATATCTTAACCAGGTTTGAACATGTTTAGACTTTTTACAGAGTTCTTCCCTAGAAATCTATAATGAGCTGTAATTATTGTAATGACTACATGAATTTTGCACATGGTCAGTTTGTGAATTTGTATAGCACCATATCACACCATGCATTATCTCAAGGCACAATGTTAACCCTATTGTTGGCGTTAGAGGAGATGTAACATGCTAAACTAAATGTCTCCTCTGCCACCAGTATGGTAAGAAAGACGCAGGAGACGTCAGCCATGTTCCTCCTGGATGGAACCATTGGCATGCATTGGTGAGTCCCAGAAACAAACATGTAAACACATGCACACAATGTTTCCAGGTGTTTCTGTTGTCACAATCTATGCTCCATGATTATCAGGTGGGGAACTCGCAGTACTACAACTACACACTGTCCGTCGACGGCAAAGAAGAAAAGCACGGCGACAGTTATGAGAAGGACTACCTCACAGACCTCCTGGTGAGTGACTTATATTGAGCCTGTGTGCAGCAGTATTTCATGCATCCATGCAACTCCACAGGGACATTTATGTGAGACTTTATGAGAAGAAAAAGACTGCTCCCCTCCAAACTGACTGAATCAGCTGTCGTTAAATGGAAAATGTCCATCAAGCTGTCTTCGTCTGGCTGTCAGCAAAGTGAAGGGTTAATCAACCACCGAACGGTGAGCGAGAAATTGAGGGGAGGACTTGAAGAGCTGTAGGAGCTGATAGATTTTTGTGTGTTTGAGTGACGACGTGAGGTTTATCTGTGCTTTAATGAAGTCAGTTTGTGTCATGGTTTCATGCGACTGCTGCATGTCATCCTCATCAGGTGACAAGAGCCATCTGCTCTGTGCAAAGGTTATGAAGACTCAACTTCCCCTTGTCGTCCGCACAGCTGGCTGTGTCGGAAATCATCCACTACTCAGCAGTTAGGGTCGTTTTCTCGGCACCGATATTCGCGTCATTGTTGGAGTTTTTCCTCCCCACTGTTGCTCATGCTAACTCGGTGTGAAGTTGGATTTTGTGTTTCTTAAGATCTTGGACTTTTGTGCAGCACCCTGAGACAACTGTTTGTTGTGATACCGTGCTATATAAATACATTTGATTGATTGATTGATAAACTTGAGCTGTGATGCTCTGCTCTAAGCTGTTCCTGCTGCCCTCTCTCCTTTCTGAGCCATTTTTCTTCTGGTTAAAATGGCGAACTAACTTGATTTGTGAGTGACTTAAGATGTAGCCGAAGTAGTCCTGAATGAATGGGGGTGTATGGAGCTGTAGCCCCACAGTTTGATTCTCAGTGTCCCTGGAGCCGATTTAGTCGCTCTATTTACTTATCACAGGAAGTGTGCCTGTAGGTTAACTGAGGATGTAGAGGACGATATGGGAAATACTGTCTTCAGCCAAATCAACAAATGATTGGGGTTGCAAACATTTAAGGTGTTCAGTCTAGATCTGAAACTACAAAATCAAAAATAAACTAAAAACAAAAATTCAAGGAGATAATAGTAAAAAATTAAAATAAAACCAACCATATTGTCTGAGCAGCCAAAGAAAAATGAGCACTGAGGTAGATTAATAGCATGTGTTTAGCAGCAAACCAGCTGTAATTACATGCTGTATCCTGTGGTAGTAATGGCTCACAGGTGCCACCCTCCACTGGTCCAGTCCTTGTAGCTCACGCAGTTTATTCTAATCAGGTTCTGTCAAACAGAGATCCTGTTGTTCTCTCGGAGTTATCCACTCAGTGCTGTACTCTGTCTCTCTTTATTTTGCAATGCAGTTGAACCGGTCTCTTAAATTTCTGGAGGACAGGAGTCCCCATCAACCCTTCTTCCTGATGTTGTCTCCTCCGGCTCCTCACTCCCCCTGGACGGCAGCGCCTCAGTACCAGAAGGAGTTTGGTGATGTTAAAGCTCCTCGAGACGGGAGTTTTGACAAATTAGGGAAGGTACGACCAAGAGTTACGTCAAACAATGGGAAGGTTAATCACAGTTTTTTAAGCTGTCGTCCCAATCGATCTCTATTTGTCTGTTTGTTTCAGGACAAGCACTGGCTGCTGCGTCAACCTGTCAACCCCATGCCAGAGAGCTCACTGACCTTCCTGGATAATGCATACAGGAGAAGGTACTTCTCTAAACAACCCTACTACTATAATTGAAGAGCTGTTTGTTTTGTGTGGTTGCACCTGCATGTCTGATTACTCCTCCAAACCCATCCTCCATTCCTTTACTCCACTAAAATACAGGCTGTAAGTTTGCTTTTCTCATTATATAGCATGAACTATTCATATATAAAAGGTAAAGGTAAGTAAACTGAAACAAGGAACATCTTAAATCACAAGAAACAAAGATGTAAAGGAAATGTGTGAAAGGACAAAAGAAAAACCTGAAAACATTTGAGCGTTTTTAATTCATCTCTCCTGCAGGTGGCAGACTCTGTTGTCAGTGGACGACATGGTGGAGATGCTGGTCAAGAAACTGGATAGTATAAAGGAACTGGACAACACCTACATCTTCTACACCTCAGACAACGGCTACCACACAGGTCTGAGCGTGCTCCAGTTGGTCCTGAGGCTTTAACAGCAGCACACCTCTTGTCTGTGTCTCACTGTATTCGCCTGTCTTCACTGTCCCAGGTCAGTTCTCTCTGCCCATCGATAAGAGACAGCTGTATGAATTTGACATCAGGATCCCGCTCTTGGTCCGTGGTCCTGGCATCAAACCAAACCAGACGCTGCAGGTCACAAGACATTTGGTTTCTTGCTCCTTTGCCTGTCATCTCTGGTTTTATGTGTTTTCAGCATTTTATATGTCTCTTGCATGACTCCTTCAGGCTCCGGTACTGAATATTGACCTGGCTCCGACCATAATGGACATAACTGGCCTCAACCTGTCCTCTGTGAATGTGGATGGGCAGTCTTTCCTCAGTCAGATGGTCAGCCATTTGTATTTGAATTGACAGAAATGTTTTCATGCTCTCATTTTCTAAACATAACCTGAGGTGTTCTATCTAGGCTCCCTCACTGCGTAATGGAAGTGCACGTCCCTTTTTCCTTGTCGAACACACCGGAGAGGGAAATCCCACAACAGATCCAGCGTGTCCCAAACTAGGCCCTGGACTATCTGTAAGTGCAGTGAGATACTTCAGTCTGGACCACAGTGGGGGATTGCGTCAGGGGCAATAATACCGAAAGAATAACAAAACTATCATTGCAATAACGTTTAGTTGCAACTCTTACTTAAAGTATCATTTTCTCCAGCAATGTTTCCCAGACTGTGTGTGTGAAGATGCCTTCAACAACACCTACGCCTGCGTCCGGACCCTCGACGGCGAAAACAACCTGCAGTACTGCGAGTTTGCCGACAGCGAGGTAGAGCGGGACTTTTTGGTATTTTTCCATGACACACGCGATTCTCTTTGTGAGCACAGATGTGAAGCTTGGTGTTTGCTCTCCTTTGTGTCCCCAGTCGTTTGTAGAGGTGTACAACCTGACGTCAGACCCGTACCAGCTGGAGAACATTGTGAAGAAGGTGGACCCAGTCATCCTGCAGACGATGAACCAGCGGCTCATCGAGCTCCAGTCCTGTAAGGGGGACAGCTGCCGTGACCTCAAGTAACGGAGAGCCCACTTAGCGTTTACATACTCCAAGAAGCTGTACACCTCTTTCTCACCAAATCAGCTCTGGTTCTTAAACCGGTTTACATTCAGGGTTCTTGGAACTGGATGCTACCCAGTGAACTAGCCTGCATATCAACTAGTTTTGAGTGGAACCATTGTAATGAAGGTTCTGTCGTTAGCAGAGGCCGTTGCACAATTTGCAAGTGCTTGTCCTTTCATTAGATATACTGTGTTTGTTGGCAGACCACTGCAACCTCTTTTATTTGCCTCCTTCATCCTCCATTTCCCGCCGATGTATGACATGCCTACTGATGTCATCACGGTTCACTATTGAAAACCTACAATAGTTTTTTTGTTTTTTTTGCCGAAATGCTCCAGTTCAAAATCAGATGTACGAATGGGAACAAAAGTTGTTCCATGTTGGTGGAAGAGGGAACTACTGGAAGGTGGAGCTGGTTACGTCCAGTCAATGGCCATTTTCACCACAAGTATGAAAGCTGCACAGGCATTGATGATGCTGGCTCACTGTTCCGCAGCCATGGCTTCAGGGAACACTTCAAGAAGGAGTTATGCACTTATTTGTGTTTTTGCTGCGAGTTAGATGAGAAGATGGATAAGCACAACTGGTTAGCTTATCTTGGCATAAAGACTGGCAATAGAGGGAAACAGCTCTGTCCAAAGGCTCCTCTTCTACAGCTCACTGATTAACACGCAGCATTGTTTGTTTCATTTGTGTGAAAATGACTCATAGCTGTTTTGTGAGGGCTGTGATGAGACATCACCAGCAAATAACCTTTGATTTGTTTTGACACTTTGCTTTTCTTTCTTTTCAAACCCTCAAGCAGAAAGTGAGCGAGCGTATTGCCCTAATAATCTTTTTCCCTTTAATGTTGTTATTGCGACTGCTTCTCTCCAGTGACGAGTCAGAATGTCTGCTGAGCTGTGATTGAATCCGTGCTCTCATGCTATTTTCTTTCAGATAGCGTTAACTCCTTGTCCTATTTATTCTATTGAAATGACTCTATGATTACCAGTCAGTCCACGTGTTTCCGTTTACTGCACTATAAATGCACTGTTCTTTAAAGTGTTTGGAGTTCACAGTGCCATGGTAACATTTTACCAATCACAGATCAACCAACATGTTGCCAGTGTATGTTTTGGAGATGTATTGATTTGAACAACCAAAGGTTTGCTGGTACACTGTAGCTCTCTCCAATCATCTCTGTAAAGGAATCGTCCAAAACGTTTGCATGTGTGTTTATTTTTAATCTTTTTAAAAATGAATGCCACTCGTGTCCTCCTGTTTCATTTGAAGCTTCCTATATCAGCTGGATAGCTCAGCTTATCAGAAAAGGTGGTGGAAACAGAGCCTGCAACCGTGGTACAGTCCAAAGTTAACAAAGTCCACCTAGCAGCACCAATAATACTCACTCATTTCGAACACAACTGTTTCTCTGCTTTTCACAACTCTTTGAAATCGTGCTCATTATTTTATCCATGAATAGACACCATTTTGTGTGTCTAGTTATCGCTCCAATTTTGTGCCTCAGATTTAATGGACCCAGCGTTTTTGATTTTTAACCCTGATATTTGTGACATATTTTGAATATTAGTGATAACATTTGTTTAGCGTCTTTTCGTGAGGAGTTCATTAAGGGAAATTTCACATGGACTTGTGCCTTTTTATTTGCACTGACCAGGAACATGTGCCTTAAATGTGAATGTATTTGCACTGTGAAGAAACTTATTAAAAAAAAAATTAAAAAACCTTAAATGCACTGTCAATTGTATATTTCCTATGAATCACAGGGCAAATACAAATAACAGTATTTAGTGCTGTGCATGTTTTCATTTATATAAATGTAATAATGCTGTCATATGTAGGTGAAGTTTTTGTTTACCATGTATTTTTCAGCAATTCAATTCTCAAATCTCCAAATATCTAAATTGTGATTAACTGTTTATGCAGCCACTACAACTATTGGCATGCAGTGGGGATTTTGGTAAATAAGATATTTATAGAATTAAATAAATATAACATGAATGAATGTACAAGGATTTAAAAAAGTGAATGTGTGTAGAGAGTTGACTGAGAATAGCATGTTTAAGATGTGAAACATTTTGGTGGGAAGATTCCACTTAAAGAGAATTGTTAAAAACAATCAGCAATCCTAAAGTTTCTCCATGCAGCAACAAACTTTGTACCATTAATTCTCATGATTTTAACAAAATTCTATATTCATAATACATTTGATCCATTTTTTGTATCTGTGCTGCCCTTCACTGACCATGTACGGTGACCCTGATGCAACACTTTGGGTAGAACCACAGCAAACCAGTGATATGGCATATGGAAATAAATTGTTGAAATCGGATGATCATTTCAGGCATAATGTTTAATGACACTCAAACACTTTTCTTTGATTTTGAAAGTTTAATTGAAAAAAAAAACCTGTTAGGGAAACTGGAAACAGGTGGCATCACTCATTGAACAGGAATGGAGAAGGGATCCAAATCATCCATCAGAGGTACTTGTACACAGCTTTCTCCTGCAGGGTCTGAATCTCTAGTTTGACGGGACATTTGTAAAAGTGCGACAGCAGTGACTCCGTGTAGCCAATCAGGAAGTAAAACTTATGCGGTGGGAGCTTCTGTAACATTAAAGCGCACACGATGAGCAAGTTGCCGCGTCTTTTGATCACAACCTCATTTGCCAGGCAGTTGTGGAAAGTCCCGAACATGAATTTCCTTATGAAAACATCCTCTACAGAACGTTCAGCTGCTCCCTCCTCTCCTTTGAGGTTACCTGGCAGAAAAGGGAAGGAGAGTTTTCCTGAGGCCTAAAGTACAATAAGGTACATTACATTACTATACAATACATGCGGTAACAGTTACTGTGATATATCATCTTCAAAGATCAATACATCTCTGCACATAATAAAGAAACATCTAATGCTTAAATTGTTTAGAATTATTTCCCCTCATAAGATTTCATGATGACTATAAGTGACATCACATGCATGTGTCCTTTTGTGTTGACTGTGCTGATATAAAAGTCAAATGTCTAGTGCACAAATACATATTTTCAGGTATCTGTAACCTCATCTCACATAGATAAGATGTGAAGCTTATATAGTTCTAAAAATAATTGATGATTATATTGTAGGTATGATGTCATGACATCATGATGATTTCATTACAGGTTATGCATGATGATTTCCATCAATATTTTTCTAAGCGAAAACAAACCCATAAATCTTCTGACCAAACTTCTGACTCACTGAACTGTGTCAAATTCGTATGATACCCGGCTTCTTGAATATGGAATTCTATTTCTATACTTAACAAACCTTGATATTTTAAATGTTTCAGACACATGATGCTTTTTAACGACCTCTAAGTCTTTTAACGGAGGTGCAGTTCAGCTTTACTCTCTTGAGCTTGCTGAGCTTGACACTTTACCACAACGGTAGTTAGAGGACGATGCTTTATAATGCTCTTTAACAAGCTTGGTCATGCTCACTGGTATGCTGCGACAGCCATCCCTTGCGATGGCCAATGTGTTGAGGGTGAAGTGCTTGCTCATAGGTCAAAGGTTTGTCTCCTTTCCCCACTCGGATACGAGCAGCTCGATTCTAAAGATCAAACAAAAAGAAAGAGACCAAATTTCAGGTAACACAAAATAATGGTGTGAAATGTTCAGTAAACCAAGAGGTAAGCCAGACTTGTTAGTGCATAGAGCAGAAATAGCTGCTATAGCTCAAACAATCTGATCTGGACTTTATGAAGTCTGTGGAAGGTTTCACACTGAACCTGCACGACCAAACCGCTGTTTTTAAGATCAGACAGCTCCTCTGTCATTGTGTGTTTAAGACAAATTAATGAATTGTCTGTGTTTGAACTGAGTTGAGGTTGCGTGTTGTGAGTCAGTTACAGGTGAAAGAGATGTAGAGCTGGATTTAAAATCATGTTAATGTGAAAAACAATAACCAAAGTCAGTGCTTTGCATGGTGATGTTGTGTTTCAAGTTGAGTCGGTTGACATTGAAGGCACACACAGGTGTGCTGTCTATGTCTGTGGAGCTTACTGAATAGACTTGTGTGTCATCATCACTGCTGCTAACTGCCGTTTGTCACCGGATCATGTGTCACAGTAACTGTCAAAGTTGCATGTGGCTTAAAAGAAGTTGAGCAATGCAAGAATGAGAGGTTTCCAGCAGCTGCTGTATTTCTAAGTCATGACGATCAGCTGATACAACATGTGGAAATGTGTTTTCTGCCCCAGGGCTGTGTGCGTTGGAGATTTTATGAAGGCCAAACAAACAGATCCAACTATGAAACAGCATTTTATCAGTCAAAGAGAAACAATGTGAAATTTTTGTTAATGGCAACAGTTGACTACAGTCTTGTGGCCTGCCGTCAGAGTAGTTTTACCCCCCCGGACACACACGCACCCCCAGTGATGTTAGCTCAGAAGAAAGCCTTTAATGATGTCACTGTTTACCTTGCAGCACACTGAAGTAACATGGAGGCTTCTGCTTCCAGAGGAGCTGAATAATGATCCAGCCCTGGTTAAAGCCCCCTGTAGAAAAACAGAAGGAACACAGTGAGAGTAAAATACACACTGCAGTTACTACAGTGAGGACTGAGAACAGTTTATAGGCTGAGAGGGGGTTTAGGAAATAGAGCTTGAGAAATGTTCTTATGCTCAGAGCAGAAAAGTGTAAAGCAGAAACCCCCAACACAGCGAGATGCTCAAGTTACAAATGGACATTAAAGTTACAAGTCTGAATTTACACGTTTCAGTTGCAAAAAAACTGAAACGATGCTCAACACGATGGTCAACATAATACAAACTGCATCACACTGTGATTTTTAATGATTTTTCATTCCTAAGGTGAGCAGGCAGGATATTATAACACATTTCATCACAGTGCAGTCTAGTAAAAACACTTGAATACATAGCTGTTGTATTGGATTACAAGAGACTGTCAAGGCTCAAGTAGACGTTATACACAATTGGTAGCTAATTTATTGGGTGCACTTATATAATCTAATGCAATCCAATCCAACTGTTCTGGCATTAATCAGACTTTTATCATGCGCGTAATGTTCAGTTAATTTACACTGTCTCTGTCCAATAAAGTTGAGTAAAATGCTCCTCTGACAGAAATTAAAAGACAAGACACCAAGTGAAGAAGGAAAGACACAAAAATACTATTTTATTGAACGATAGCTTTTTTAAAATGTAATAATCGAAATAAAAATATATCGTAACGTTGATAACTGTGGGAACGTGTCACTTGACACATTTTTGTTGCCTTAATCCTGATTTGAAAAAAAAGAAATCCAAGATCTGTGCGAAGATAGATATTTTAAACCCATTCAATCTCACTTTATTATCAAATACAATCCACATTCATAAAAAAGAAACACTGACTTCAACGTGGCACCAATTATTTAAAGTCAAATGGCTGTGGAAATGTTAGATAACTACGGTCTATGCATCTGTTTCAATGTTGTAAAGCTTGCACGTGTCTGTCATGTAGCAGATCACATAAGTAAGTTAAATATCAAATTATGAATTCAATCTCAGGTTAATATAGCCACACATGAAACCGAAGCTGTTGGTGGTAGTAGCAATAAAGTGAAATGTGCAGCTGACCTCAGCACAGTTAGTAACATGTCTGCTTACTTCCAGATGAATGTATTCGACACATTAAAACACTGTTTTCTTACCAGGAGCCTCGCGCTGCCTGCGCCGCTCAAGGACACCGCCATGTTTTCTGAATGTGTGTTAGCCGGCTATGCTAAAGAGAGCAAATCCTGATAGCTAACTTGTTAATTCTCTAATGAAGCCGTGGTTTTTTCAGAGGAATATCATAACTTGGTTCGGATATGATTTTTTTAAACTGCATCCAAAGGGCAAGACTGTTCTTCTTCACGAAAACTCTGCCTGTAAACTGGAACTGTTTATTCGGGCGCCAGGTATTTGTTTCCACGGGACGATTTGTGGAACGTACCGACCGCAAAGAGATAAATAAAATAGCATAGTGAAAGAGTAGCCTTGAATGAACTTGTTAAGACAAATGTCTGAGCTATAGAAGTGTATAATACTGCTTTTTAATACAATTTTGTTTCCTTCATACTGTTTTATTTTATTTTTCGGTCAAAAGTTACGTAGTGGTTGAGGTTGTGCACTTATACTGAAAACACAAGACCGGATGTGTGGTTGCTGTTCTGGAAGGAGGAACACAGTCGTTCAGAAACGCTGATCAGAGCAGCTCGGGTTGTTTCTTTCTCGTTTTAACTCGCAGCTGTTTCTTTTCACTCTTTTTGTTGATCGAAAAACTTCCACGATCGATCGAAAACGTCCGAAGCCGCGATGGCGTCGCCGCTGGAGATGACGGAGATGTACGACAACGCTCTGCTGGGGATCCTGCAGCATGTTGGAAACATTCAGGACTTTCTTCAGATCTATTTTGGATTCTTGTATCGCAAAACGGACTTTTACCGCCTGCTGTCCGGCCCCGGCGACAAGATGGGCTTCCCCCCTGGCGTGGCGGAGAAGATGGTGCTCAAGGTGAAGTTTGTTGGAGAAACAGGTTCCTCTCTCACCTGTTCACGTCCTCCTCCAGCAGCCAGCATTGACAGCCTGTGAACCTGTGCTCATATAATGTTCAGGGGAAGTCAGAGATTCATGTCGATTGCTCCTGTGTCCCAGTTGGAAACCACTTCCTGCTCCAAAAGCAACGATAACGCATCATAATCTGTCAAACCCGCAAAATACTCAAGTACATCACTGTCAAATTTGTACTTCAGTACTGTACTTGGTTAACACATATGTAATTAGAGGACCTGCTCATTATTATCTTCCATAGTTGCTTATTGATCCTAAATCCAACAAACTGACCGGACTGTTTTAGAGAGTTGTTGATCTGATCATTTGAGAGGATGTTGTTAGTTCCTCTGTTGAACCATATTACATTAAACTGATATTTATTATAACATCGCTGATGTAAATGTGTTTGATAATTGTGAAATTCAAGCCCCGATCTGTGATTCCTCCTCAGACGTACAAGCTGTTCGAGAAGGTGGCAGAGCACGACAGAGAGAGACAGCTGAGCGAGATGCAGAAGAGAGCGGAGAGCAGATGTGTTCCTCAGGCAGTCCAGGAGCTGGAGGTGGCCACTGAGCCTCCCAAGGAGACAGAGGAGCAGAGCGCCAAGGCACCGCAGACGGAGAGCTCCCCGCCGGATGCTGGACACGTTTCAGCCCCTGCGGCCTCGGAAGCGACCGCTCCAGGGCCAATCGCTCAGGGAGACCAGGCAGCAGCAGCCGCCAGCACAAACTCAGCAGAGCAGTGAGTGACATCCTGTGGTTTATCAATCAGAGCTTCTTGTTTGTGTCTGCGAGTGAAATCTGACTTTGTCAACTTGAAGATGACATTAAATGTTGGCACAGCTCAGTGAATGCACATGCAGTGGTCAATAAAAATGTTCATGTGTGAGCTCCAGCAATGTGAACGTTAGGATTAAAAGTAAATGAGTAAAGTCATATAGGTAAACAATATAGTATAGTTAAGAGGTACCAAAATATAAATGTTATAAAGTTTAAAAACTACAAGCTCTTGTTCTGCATTAAAGGTTCAGTGTGTAAGATTTAGGTGAAAGGGAACTATTGGCAGAAATTTAATGTAGAATAATTCTCATAATGTTTTCACTAGTTCATTTCATCTAAATTGTATGAATTGTAGTTTTTTCTTTACCCCAGAAAAGGCCCTTTATATTTAAATACTTTATATTTACATTGAGGAGGTCCTCTCTACAGAGGCTGCCATGTTTTTTACATTAGTCCAGACTGGACAAACAAAACATCTTTTGAGTTTTTATGAGAATTAAAGGCTAGCACAGTTTTTTTTTTTTCATGTTTGGAAGGAGAGGGTGAGGTGAGGGGTGTTCAGCTGCAACATGCAACAACAACACTAGATATCACTAAATTCTACACACTGTACCTTTAAAATTTCTCCTGTGACTGATATGAGTCCATCTGACAATATTAGGGTTGTTAATGCTGATTCAATCTTGGACCGAAAAAAGAATTAATAATAATTATGACTTTATAATTTTCAGCAGTAGCAATAAAGTAAAAGTTATATACATCAATATATATTGCTAATGCATTTTGTAAGCAGATACACATAATTGATCTTCCTCAGATTTGTAAAATGTTTTGCTGTTTATCAGGTGTTCGTCATTCTCTGCTCATAGAGCTGCTCAAGAGTTTAAAACCACGACCATCGCTCAGAAGCAAAATTCATTTTTAAACATGACAAAAACAATAGTGTGATGTCGACTGACAGCCCTAGTTGGACTCTTGCTCCTACAGATCCCAGCTCTTCGTGATACTGCTTCGCCAATATATATGTAAATGTATCTGCTACAGGTGGAGTTGCTTTTTAAAAACGTTATAAAAAGGTAAATGGTTTATTGTGGTGGTTCCCAACCTTGAGGTCTAGCCCTAGAATCACCAGACACATCTGAGGGGATGTGAGATGATAAGTGGAAGGAGGACAGAAGGAAAAAGAGTTCTGATACAAACATTTGTATGAATTGCTTTTTTCAGACTTTGATATTTTGTGAAATATTAGATCATGTGGGTCTCAAACAGTTGTTTAGATGAAACCATGTGAGAGGTGTAGAGAAGAAATGTGTCATTGGTGCTTCTCAGGTAAGAGAAAGATTTGAACAAAACTAGAAGGTCAAGACCAAGTTTTAAGGTCTTAAAACTGTCTGTTGGATTACAGGAGTCAGGAGAGATTTCAGTGTGATCCCGACAGTTACAACGGGGCGGTGAGGGAAAACTACAGCTGGTCTCAGGACTTCACTGATGTGGAGGTCCGCGTGTTTGTGCCAAAGACAGTTGTTAAGGGCAAACAGGTAAACGTATTTATTCAACCATCCAACACACAAGGAGTTATGCTCTCTGTTCACTTAACGCAGGCGAGTCTGACTCGTTTTCATTCTCAGGTCAGCGTTAGCCTGCAGACCAGCAGCATGCGAGTGTGTGTGAGGGACGGAGCCAAAGAGGAAACACTGATGGAGGGAGAATTCATGCACAAGATCAACACAGAAAACTCTCTGTGGAGCCTGGAACCTGGAAGCTGTGTGGTCGTGAGTAAATGTGCCGCTCACCTTCACATCCATCCCCTTTTTTTTTTCCTACAACAACCTTTCACAGCTTTAAACCTCTGCTCGGCTTCCAGCTGTCACTCAACAAGACCTCAGAGGTTTGGTGGAACGCCGTGCTGAAAGGCGAGAAGGAGATCGACATCAACCAAATTAACCGCGAGCGCTCCATGGCATCAGTTGACGACGACGAGCACGCCGTGTTGGACAGACTCACGTTCGACTACCATCAGAAGCTGCAGGGCAAGCCACAGAGTCATGAAATGGTGAGGACACAGCTCAACACAAACATAAAGGTTTTATGCTATGCAGTCCAACCACGTCTGAAATCAAGGGTTTTTGTTATTCACTGCTTTATACAAACACGTTGTAAGAAGTTTATAACACACTATAATGGAGTTAAAGGCAGATTCAGTACATTTGTAGTGTTAATTAATGTACAGTATTTGACATTTTCTCCTATGAAACATAATTTATATTACAGTATTAGTGTTTTAAATCATTTGTGTACTCATAACAAGTGATAGTTGCCACACAGATTCATTCAGAAACACTTATACCTGCCTGTAACTGCATTATTGTGTGTTATACCTCTTTTACACCAATATAAGCAGGTATATGTGGATATTTTAAATCTCATTAGATGCCACTAAAAAAAAGGCGCTTGACTCCTTTCCCGCTGCCAGTAGAGGAAGTTCAGTTTTTTCCTCCCGGTGCATTGTCTTCAACATAACGAGTGCACAAGAAAACTGAGGCACTCTTTCACCTCGCTGTCTTGCCAAATTAGCACATTCACTCGGGTGTCTCCTTACACCGTCACTGCTGAACGGAGCTGGAGCCGATTTAAAAACCTGTGTCTACTGCAGTCATTGGACCTGGGAGTAAATGCCGATTATATCCATTCCCATTTCACATAAAATCACAGATGTTAGTGGGTGTAAGTGGGTTTTTTGACCAGTAGAAAATGGGCTTTATAAACCATTCATCAGATGTTTATGTACCACTTATAAATCCAAAACATCAGGGCATAAAGTTAAGAGGTACAGCTGTGTGTGAAGTATTTTTCTTCAGTCATTCAGCCGTGCAGATGTTTCTAAACTGCCTTTTAACCAACTGAACCTCCACAATGTCGTTCATGTTGTTTCATGAGGTTGTTAAACATATTTGATTTAATGCTGCACCGAAATGAGGTAGAACATAACGAGGAATCGTTTTTTGTGGTCAGTTACAGTAAAGTTGACTCACCCCTAGATGGCACTGTGGTCTTTATTAGCTTAATAAAGTGGGGAAATGTTCAACACACCCATCTCCGTGTGTCTCCACAGAAAGTGCACGATATGCTGAAGAAGGGCTGGGACGCCGAAGGCTCTCCCTTCAGAGGGCAGCAGTTCGACCCGTCCATGTTTGACATCCCACCCAGTGCGGTACAGTTCTGAGGCACGGCCAAATATCAGCCAAGTATGAACTGGATCCTAGTTTATTTATAGAACTGCTTGTAAAAAAAGACATTTACCTGCTGGTCTGCTGTGTTGGAGGTTTGTTTTTAAATGTAAGAGCAGAACTAAAGCCGCTTATTGTGGCGAGGACTTGTTATTATATGAAATCTGATCATTCTGTTGATTTTGCCCACTCTGCAGTGCCTTGTCTGCCCCCCTGAGGTACTGGATTCTTTTTTTTTCCATTTCTATTCTTGTAGCACTGCCCCAAAGCTTTGAGCATTGAATCACCTGTCATTGTAACTGGTTACCTTCATTTCCATCCTTCTCGAAGTAATGACAGGAGAGCCCACCTCTGTTTTCTATCTGATGATGATGATGATGATATTAATAATATATCAGATGGAGCTGTATAATTAAGAATGGAGAATTTTTATCTTTTATTCGCATCTGAACATTTGATAGGTTATTATTTCTGTAAGGCTATCAGAGTGTTAACAAAGCAAGAGTAAATTGAAAAGTCTGTTTACCTGCAGCAGAATGTCTAGCGGCAGATTCTTTTTTCCATTTTAGCCAACTTCCTCTAATTTCAGCCCTGTTTACATATTTATACATTATAGATATTTTACATTGATTACACACAAATAAAATGAACTTAAAAAATAATTCTAATTCTCAATGTTCAGGGAATGTAGGTTAAATCTTCCACACATGATCGATCCTCGAACACATGATCACTGAAGAGCTGCTCTTCAGAGTGATTTGTACACCAGACAGAAGGCAGGGGAAGTCACTTGGTCATGGAAGCCTTAGGTTTACCTGGTTGTCAATGTTAACAAGTTATTTATTTAAGTCCACACGCTGGATATTGGATTAGTTGTGTTCACCCTTAGTGCAGGTGTCACAGTTTGATGCAAGAAGCAGCTTTTAAAAATGGCCTCCTCAGAGTGTTTGTAAAGATAAAGATCAGATCTTTGCCACTTACTCATCAATTAGAAATGATTAGTTTCCATCTTTGTTGAAAATATGACAAGGCCTTACAACTTCAATAAAATAAAAAAGCCTTCACATGGTCAATGCACCATATGCGCATGTTTTACTATGATACATTGTGATTTCATTAATACCGTATGATGATGAATGATTGGTTAATCAAAATGTGCTGCAAATTGTGTCTCCAGTTTTAGCAGTTGCAAAATTGAATGGAGACACATCATGAAGATGTCACATGTCAGAGCTTTTGAAACTTCCTTTGGGTCTTTTAGCTTCACCACCTTTTTTTGCAAGTGCTGCACCTGTAGGAATATGTCAAAGCGAGTCAAGCAGGTGAAATGCTCTGCTGTCGAGTCCACAGAGGAGCACGCAGCTCTGCATAGACCCCCGGTACCAGAGCCCACAAGAGTAAAGTAGTTTATTTATCATGGCAAGTTAATGTCCCAGCTGCAGTTGGTAAAGAGGTGATGGTCTGTGCAGGGATTTAAGTGTCTGTCTTCAACCAGGTGATGAGGCGTCTCCACCAGCTGCAGGAGAGCTGAACCTGCAGAAATGTAAAGTTTTATTTCTGTCACATTTACTGGTTTTCACTCCAACATAAGGCTGTGGTAAATAAAAATTCAAGGAAAGCGTATGTTGTTCATTCTTTTTGTCATATACTAAACATCGTGTGTTGCAATAATAATGCCAAATAATGTTCAATCCATAACTAAAGTATAAACCTCCCGGCAGATACCACTGTTCACTGTCATATACTGGTGGTGTGTTAGTGAAAATACTAAAATAATGCATTTTAATAAAAAAACAACCGCAAAATACACACAGTGATTTTTTTCTGGGTGCCCCCCTGTGGATTTGGGCTAAGATGCTAATATTGAACTTCAACATCCCTGGTTCGTTGCACATCATCTTTGTGTCTTCATTTCCAATAAAGACATAATTACGATGGTATGGCCTGTATAAGGCATATTACAACAGCAGCTGTATATGTGAGGGACATACCCCTTGTCGAAGTGGTACGGCACAAAGAAGTGGCATGACACACAGTGGTATGCTGGAGGACAGTGGTATCTGCCAGTGTTACAGGAGAGACAAACTGTCAGTGACTCACACTGAGCACCAGGATATCATCAGTAACAACTTGATGCTGTTTCCATCAAACCTCAATTATGCACACAAACAACTGTGGACACCACAGACACGTAGCTGATGGTGTTCTTGTTCTACGTTCTAGTCCACTTGCAACATGAGCTCTTGTTATTGATTACTTTTAAAAGTATATAACACAATGCATTACAAGAATGTAGCCTAGTAGAAAGTATTTACTGATATATGTATGAGTATGCATGAAACATTTACAGAGCAGTACATGAACTAAGTGAATGTATTCTGTTACATCCCTTGTGGTAGCGTCATGTTTTGACTGCTTGGAGACAAAATATGGGCAACGAATTAAAAACACAAAAAATAGCTCTTACAACCATATTAGTGGGAATATTCAGTTTTTTATGAATGTAAACCCACAAAAAATCATAAAACAAAACAAATAAATAATATGCAAACAAAAAGAATAATAAAAAAAAACACTTAGAAGTTGATTAACTAATTTCCCATTGCCAGAGGAAGAGTTCTCCTTTCTGTTCTGTTCCATGATGAGTCATGTTTGACGGCTCAAACGTGCTGTAAACTGATAATTGTTGGATGAGTTTTCGAAGAAGTAAAAAACACTAAGTACACAAATGTTATTTGGGGTTCTCTGCTCAGATGCATTCACAACCACAACAAAACCTCTGCAGGATTCATGCGAGGGGTAGAGCAGCAGGCACTCTGGAGAAACCCTAGAGGTTCTCCTGAGTTCAGTGCATGTTTGAAAGCAACTATAAAGACCAAGAAGAAATGTGTGCTTTCACCTGGGTGTAATGCTTCCATCATTATTGATTTTTGATCTACTGCAGAGTAATCTAACCAGGGAGTGAATGCCAATTTTATTCAATTCCCATTTTGAAGACAAAAGGAGCTAAAGTGAGGTTGGTGGGGGCCCAACAATACACTTTTGCTCTGCGGCCCCCTGACAGGTAAATCTGGCTGTGTCCAAATTAAACTATTGTTGCATTATTTCTTTGTTTGGTAAAGTGGACATGAAGAAGGCCCTGCTGCGGACTGTTTCCTCATGAAAACCTAAACACACACTTGGCGCAGGCTTCTCAAGTAAGTTACAAGTGAGGTAATTACATTATCGGCTGCAGGCTCCACATCTTATGATTTATAATGATGTGTAATCAAACGCAGGCTCCCCCGCACTGTTCAATCAGAGCACGCTCTGCCTCTGATTTCCTCCGTTCTTCATTTCTTCTTTCTTTTCTTTTGCTGGGGGAACACGTCATGTGCCGAGCTCCCGTTACCATATTGTGCGGTATTTAAAGAGTCCATCTCCCTGCTTCTACTGCTACCAGAGCCGGAGCGGGTGTGTTCCAGTGTATGTGTGTGTGTGAGGGTTGCAGTGTGTGTTTCATTGTGTGTGTGTGAGTGTTGCAGTGTGTGTTTCAGTGTGTAAGTGTAACAGTGTGTGTGTGT